AAAAAAATACGATGAGGCTGATAAAAACAAGTTGTTTATGCGTTATCCACCTGACAAAATTTGGGAATGTCATCATAATACTATAGCTGAGAATGTAATCATCGTCATTACTTTAGATGAGAATGTCATCATCATCATTATTTTTGCTATTTTAACCAGGTGCTCGTGCGCCATCACGACTAACTTTACCGCTGAATCACTTGAAAGGCCTTTCARCTATTTTTTTCCACGCATTGACGTCATTTACCTCGCATTGTCCTCCACGACACGCACTGATGACTCCCAAAAACCCAGTTATAACAGTCTGAAATCATTTAAAAAGAGTATTGCACTTAATATTGTCAAAATTTACAAATCTTATCGCAAACAAAATATAATTATTTCAGCTCCTTTTTTATCCTTGCTTCTAGAATATGCTGTATAATTTTAACGATATATTTGCATAATATAATAACCAAAACATATAAATATCTTTTGACATTTTTACATATTTTAAAGCTTGACTTTAAGMATAATTGTAGTATTACTTTGATGAATACACAATTCAAAATTGAAATAAGACCATCCAAAGCTTATATCATCAAAATTATAAAGAATATTGTTCGTTTTGGTRGAAAAGTTTACATACTTTATTTAACTTCACAGAATGAATATTTGACTTACTACAGCTGCTGTCAAAACGGCACCAACTAGAATCCAACCTGAAAGCAAACCCTCGGMAGTCGAGTCGACGTTATCTACCGAAGAAGCATTACTCGAACGGAACCAGTTGATCTTTAGCGTAGAACCTTTAACTAACTCAGTCCAAAATAGAACTAGAATAGCGATATATCCACCTCCACACACAAACACGAAAAAAGACGTTGTAAAAACTGGACATGAGAATTTTGCCATTATTACAAAAAGTACTACAAGCTCAGCAAGTAATCCTTSTRSAAGTTTGCTGATAATGTTTTGATCAGAAGCAACGCTAGCAAATTACGCTTGAATACGCAYAAGACTGGCGTCATAATGTTTCTTGTTCACGGAACAATTACCAGGACTCAATTATAATAATTCAGTGGCTGATAGGAATGTTGTTTTCACAATCTGTGCGCAAATATTTCATAAGGGATGTCATTGCAAGCTTTAAATTATATTTTATAGCTCTGCTGGGGAATAAGAAGACCTAACTATAAATATAATATATATTCAAGTCGAAATTCATTGCATTTTTAATTTAAGTTTTTTTTAAACACTATGAAATTTGTCTGACTCTTAAATCAGACAGGTGACAACATGAAAAAGACTACGTAGTGTCGGAAATTGTTTTTGTGTTATTAACCTCTTTTATGGCCTAGGTTCAAATCGTTGGCTCTCCTTTGACGACAAAACTGTCTACATCAATACAGATAGCATGACGAAAGCCACATCTCCTGCCTTGTGTAAATCCATGCGACGAATCTCCAGCACTTAGAAGTATGGTCTTTGAATGCTAAAGATTCAAGAACATTCTTGAATATTACCTTCATACCTCCATAGGGTCGAATACGGCGTCCTGGCTTCAATATCGGTAAAAAAAACCTCACTCGTCCCCATTGTACTTCTAAATGTCCATTATCTATTGAAATTTTGAATGGCCATTTACAAACACATGGTTCGTTGCCAAGGTAATTTATCGTCATGGTTACACCTACATTTTACATGACAACGATAAAAGTAAATCAAAATYGGTCGACAGCAGTTATTTCAGTAAAGCGAAGACTTCATTCTTAACTGTCCTCAGGTGAGTCTCTGTTTCTGTTGAATTTTGTATTTTTATTTAACACGCTGTSAAACTTTACCTTTAGTTAATTCTTTTATATTGATTTATTCTTTGATACATTATACCGTATTCTATATCTTGTCTGTACTGTGTAGTAGTTTTCGTATGTAGCATTTTTATAAAGCTTGTAACTTTTGAGGGCGAGAAAACGCCAGACCTGAATTTCTCAGTTTCAAATGAAAAAAAGGGAACAAAACTACTAAGCCTTTTTGTCATATAAAGACTAAAAATAAAATATTCGATATTTGTAAAAATATAACACTGTTTTGATAGTTTAAAACAATGCGATATTTCTGACTGACTATAATTCCAAAGCTAGAGTCTTGAGATACATCATTTTTTTAGTGCAAGTAAAGCGAAATAAAAGTAAAAATTCCTTTTAAATCTATATTTAAACTCTCTGATTGAATGTCAGATTGTTTGTGTGGGTGCGTCAGTGAAACTTTAGTAAACTTCCAGCTTATAAGAGCTTCTGGATAATCCAATTGTTTCCTTCCTTAAACATCGTGTATTTTAAATCCTCGACTCTCAAACCAGGGTGGTTTTCATAAAACCATGAAACAAATTATACATGTTAATAATAACCTGTCTACACAATTTTCAAAGCCCGTGAAACAGTGAAGAAACCAAGAAGTACAATTCAGCAAAAATACAAAGGAAAGCAATTACTATACTTAAACCTGTGAAACAAAATGTGATAACCAAAAATAAAGTTTCCTATATCGAAAAGRTAAAGAAAAAAKTGAGCAATARAGAATGACAAGGTGTAAWTGTATTTCACGGATCAAAGTTATGGAARCCATTCTACAAAAGAACCAAAATGCCACGATACGTACGTAACGAGTGGTGTATTTCACTAAAGAGAGTACCACTCCAACAACATTGAGGTTATTAACTATAATAGTGTGTAAATAGTCTAACGTTAACAAAACAAAACTTCAAAGTGGGATTATCGACGATGTGATAATGTGCTTTCAATAATAAAGGTCTTTTGTTTGGGAGATMAAGGAGAATTGGCATTTCTATAAAGCTTTTGATATTTAATTGGCCTCACATCAAGTGCGATTCTCAATTTTTATGACCAATGCAATGAATGTTTCTGATCTCGTTTATTGTTGTTGCTATGTCTTTATAATATTCAATTTACAAAGAGTCTTTAGCAAATATCTCTCAGCTTATTCAGATCTTTTCTTAATAAAAACTTAGTTGAACCCTTATAAAATAATAATATTAAACTGCGCTATAATTCTGCTATTCTAAATTTGACGAGACTGTGAAAAGTCAATGAGCATGGCCATAAACATATTAGACCCTAATTCYTAATTTCTTTTGTTCAGATGGGCATTAAACATAAAAATGCCAAGAAGAAAACTTTTAAACCGAGAAAACGAAGAATGTTACGTTGTTTAGCGGGTTATYAAAGAGCTCCGATGATTTATCGATTGACGTCTTTTTTAGTTAACGTGTCGTCGTGACATTTATCGTAAAATCCGTAGTTACCATCAGATATAGAACTGTTTTCATGAATCCACGCGTCAACAACGTGCATTCATTGTTTAAGGAATAAAAGACGAAATTCCGTGTTGATACTCTGATCAAAGTGTACATCCCAAGTGTTTTGATCAGAGTATCAAACACGGAATTTCGTCTTTTATTTCTTTTCTAAAATTAACAGAATGAATGAATGACAACAACAAAAGCAAACGGCGGGAAAAAAGAAATTTTTGACGCGCGCGAGCGTGTTTTGATACTGTAATCAAACATGGTTTTCGACCAATCACAGCGCGCGTAGTATCCTAAATATTTTAGAATGAGAAATAATCACTTTCCTACACCACAAAAAACAGTATAATTCGGTCTACAATGCTTCTAAACACAGCGATTAAATTACAAGACTTTTCATGGGTTTATAAAAAAAACCCTCCTGAGAATCGTGACATTTTCATTTCTTAAACGTAGCGGGAAGGGATTCATAAAAGGCGAAAAAGCGAAGACAGCTCAAGCTAAATTCAAGTATTTTTCTTTGTGCCCCCCCCCCCCCCCCCCCCCGAATAGTTCGTTATTCAATGCATTATTGGATTTTTCATTTTATTTTTCGTTTTCAAACTTCAGTTGATTAATGAAAAATTAAATTCAAATCTGGAACTCTGATAATGACAGGAAACAACACAAAATTTCCAGTTTTTGAGACCGTCATCAGCGTCATTCCTTTCCCACAAGGAACAGATCCAACCAAATTAACAAACAGCATATTGCAATGCATCGATTTGTGGAAATTACAAAAGACCAGAATGTTTACAGCGAAATATGAAGAAGGCTTTATGAAAATCCGATCAATGATCCAATCAAATTTCGAAGTTTGAATTCAAAGTTGATTTCAACAATGTAATGTTGAATCGACCAAGAATCGAATAATGATGGTTTGAGGGCGGGTGGGGAGGCGCTTCATGTCTTTTGACTGTAACAAATTCTTCTATATAAAGGAACCATTAAGAATCCAGGGAGAAGATGGGGTTACAATTGAAGATTATCATTCTATTCTGTATTGTCTGGACTTCGTATCATGCAGCTAATGCAAGGCCGAACAGGTAAGGGTAACATTCGCCTGTTGTTGCGTTGTTTTGGTCTAAATATCACTGCTGTTGCAGTGATTGTTACATAACAGTACTTTTCAKCATTCAGAATTCATTCAAGGAGCATTTAGCATTTCTAAATGGCTCACGCCCTAAAATATTTATGCTTTTTATTTTGGAATACAGATTTGGAAAATAAACTTGATGCTGTTGTCGTTGATGATGTTGTTTTTTKKCCWTTTTTTGATAAACATCCTTGAATTCAAGTCAAATTAAAATAATTATCTTTTCTTTTTATTTCGGAAAAGGTCTTTTCTCAGAGAAGCAGACCAAGGCAGGCCTTTGCATTTTCACAATCCAATTCCATTCAAAAGACAAGAACCTACTACCGCTCCACCAACGACGCCGTTTGACGGCGTCATCCCATTCAAAAGGGTAGTGAATGAGAAAAAAAGTGGATGGTTGGGAAACCTGATTCCATTTAAAAGAGAAGATCCTTCATCCGTCGTTCCATTCAAAAGACGATAAGCTGGAATAGCATAAGTTATCAAGGAAAAGTAGCTKTTTAGTCAGTTATTCAATTTCGTCACTTGGTGCATAATAAATAGCATTAAAATATGAATACAAATTTGAAACTTCTTTTCTGAACAGCCTTTTTTTCGGGAGACACRGGGAAAATCGGTATATAAAAACAAATAGYTYAATTTTACATCATTATCTAAACCTTTTCTGTTTATCTTACAAACTAGTCGTTGACAATCTCAAAACAGTCCACAACTGATTTACGACAGTATCGTAAAAATAGTTCCTCGGCTTTGACTAAAATTGTATTCAGGTCCATCTTCATTGATAAACTACAAAAAGAAAACAAGCATGCTAAATTGGTTTGTTTTTCTTCCTCTCCTTCAGTCCTCTCCTCATGTTCTCCCCCCCGTCTCCCCCGTCTCCCCCCGTCTTCCCCCTGGCGATGTCCAATGCATACCTGTTAATCACGTTGTATACCAMGGACACATCAGTACACTTGAAGAACATTTGTCGGTACTCTTTGAGAATTGCCAAACACACGAATAGATCAAATGTAAACTCCTCATTCAAGCCAACTAACTCAGTGTCATATTCACCACCTAGAAATCATAATGGTATGATAAGTCTGGCCTAATAAATGACCGAGTTCGAATAGCTATAGAAAGTATATTACGCATGCTCTGAATTGATTTCCGCATGTATCCCACATGGTTTAGCGCATCGTCTTATTTCAATGTCGTGCTAGTTTGCTTGCAAAGTAGCTCGGAAAGGCCAGTTTAAAACTGTCCGAGAAAAAGAAAAACGTAGAAAAAAAGGAAAAACTGTTTTTATATCAAACTTTTTTTATAAACTCAAAAAAACTTTGTTTTTACTAAAAATAACAAATTCAATACCTTCTTTTTCTCTAACTTTATATCTTTGCTTTTCTCGTTCTTTTACGGCTTCTAGTGAATGAAGCTCTAAATGCTGACTGCTTAATATTTCAAATAGCTTGAGTGAGTCGTCGAAAGAGAACTCTCTCTTAAAACCAAGAATAAGCCACCTAGTAGTAGGGTTAAAGACACGAAAAAGGAATGTATCAACATATATAATAGACTAGGTAGAAAATAATTCTATAAGTACCAATAATGTTTGGCTTTGTGTTTTTGAAAAATTGTCAAAACGTCTACATTGGCCTCGAACCACCGTCCAACTTTCTCGTATTTTGGGCAGGGATGATCGCCTAAAGATACTAGTTTCTCACAATTCTRTTTGAATTGTTCAGCAAAGTATTGTCGTCATGGTGACATCTGCWGTTACTCTAAAGATACTACCTTAGACTATGTTCGCCAAAAAGCTTTTAAGACAGCCTACAACATTTCAGGTTACTGATTTTTTTAACCCTTGACGACACGATGACCTTCCCGCCTAACGTGGACTTTCCCTTTATAGCCTGCGTAGCGGCCCTCTTGGGATCCCTATGGACCGGCGCGACGCAGGCTATCCCTTTAGGCCTTGGCGCTTCGAAAGGTGTGGCCGTTTTGAACCTGACAGCGTTTTGTCAAATAAGTGTATAAATCTAACCTGTGAACAAACAATAGATCACCCATGGAATGAGCTGTAAAATGGTGAGACAATTGTGCATCCATGCATTTTAATAATTTTCGTATAAGTTCTGTGAAAAGAAACAGGTGAACATTTCAAATAAGAATCGATCAAAATAGTTTTGGGAAAATGATCAACGCTGAGGCGGAGAAACATCACTGGCAAATGGAGGATGGCTTACCTATTTTGTTCATCATTCCTGACTCTAAGAAATCCACCTTGACAGTATCCATATAATTCACAAAACAGTAATATGCCTCAGCTTCTGAACTCAGGACAACTAAAAATCTACTCAAAATATCATTCATGCCTTGTGCATATCCAACATCTGAAATACAAAAACGTAAGCTGTGAGGAGTGTTGTTTATTACAACCAGGAGGGGGGAACGGGGTGGGTGGGTGTGTGCCATGGGACCTCAAAACCCTGACCAGAGTGAAATCGCTGAAAATGATACCCTGTTCCAGAGAAAATTCAGCACTAGCTTGCATGTAGACCCAATTTTTACTACGTAAAATTTTTACCCAGTATTAATAATTTCGGAATTAAACCCTGACCCTGTTCCAGAGAAAATTTGTTGAAATTGATACCCTATTCCAGAGTAAAATCACTAAAAACGATACCCTGGCTGGCGGCACATCCTCCCCGTATAGAGAATATAGGGGAGTAACATCCCCCCCCCCCACACACAGTGGAGAACACAAGAGTTCTAAGCAAGATTTAAAACATGTTAACATTCCTACCTTTATGATATGCGGCATAAGTTATAAGGATGTCTCTCAAAACAAGTAAATTTTGATTTCCAACACCACTAAAATAGGCAAGATAACATTAAACTTCATGAAACATCAATCAATATATGCAAGCAAATTCATCAAACAACCGAAAGCTTACAAATACAACCTCCTCTTGCAGCCGTTATGAGGCTCAATTCCAGGTCTTGCCTAAAAACAGCTGCAAGAGGAGACCACATACTAATTATACACTAATACACTAATTAATATAAAAATAATTAATAACTAGGATAGATTTACCCCTCAGTAAACTCAACCAACCACTGAATACAATAACAAAGAAGTAGACATACCACAAATGCTATAACAAAGCTGACTAGCTATCCATCTATCGAGCAATCCCCATTTCAATCTGAACACCTTAATATCGTTTCTTTACTAGACTTACTTGAAATATGGGTGACCTCTGTCAGTACGAGGGACATCTTTGTCTATGCTCTTGATAGCTTTGGCAAGTGCGGCTAAATCAATTGGTTCTCTGCTGGCATTCACCTTCAGAAGGAAAGAAAACCCAAAATCCTTTCTCTCAATATTGTCAATGACTTATTTCCATTTTTAAGCACCACCAGACATTTTGTAAAATAAGCACTGAATGATGCTTAATATAAATTATTTCAAAAAATGACTTTACTATAGAAAACACTATAATGGCAGACAGTTGTCGTTGARAATCTTGCAAGTGCAGTAGACTCCTGACTCACCCACAATCCTGGACAAAAAGTGTTGAGAATGTTTTAAAAAATCACTGAATGTTGGAATGTCTCTGTGTATACTTTTTATTTTTTTCTGCCCTCCCCCCGCCCCCCTTCGCTCAAAGTTGTAAAGAGAGCTCACGTACCTGCTGGATTCTGTTTGAGTGCTAACAACACTGCTTTGGGYGAGGGGAGGGGGTAAAGATGATGTTTTGTTGAACTGACATGAAGGGTGCAGTTRTTCTCAACCTTTTTGTCCAGGATTGCAGCTTCAAAAGGGACGGAAAGTCTGACAAAATGAGAGGCTGTAAATGAGACTACCTGACAATATACAGAACCCCCCTATGTCAAAGAGATGCACCGTTAAGATCATTCCACCTCACCTGWGCAGTTATATTCAAAAATACAAGCTGATTTTCATCAATGTCGTCTCTTAATGAAGGTGCCAATGATTCGCTTGATTTGAATTTTTCATGCTGTCGACATTCTCTAACATAAACAGGCATGTTTGAAGCATTGTCATGGCTATTATCACCAGTAAGTGTCTTGACCATCTCTTTCCATCTCATTTTATAAGCTCTGTATCGTGCATAGTTTTCAGCTGATAGAGCTTCTCGTTCCCTGAAGGAAGRAGGATGAGGCTAATATTAAGTGGTGTCTAGACTCGATCATATTAACTCAGTTCACCCTGTGAACTTTCAAAATTGGCTACTTAACAAAGGTTCACTAAAGAGAATGAATATAGACTTTTGACAGATTTTGAGCAAAAGACAAAGGTAAGCAAAAAGAAATATGACAATGTTCTGGATATTTTGACTTTCCTTAATATTCCAATCTACATTTCAGTATTTTAGCTTTCTTATTTAAAGCAATAATGCTGAAATTATTATYTTTTTTGCTCATTCAAGTATATAAAATATATCAGAATTTATGGGATATCGTTACCATTTTTTTTGTATAGTGCTTGTGCTAGGCAACTTCAAAAAAAAAATATCAGCAATGATATCCCATAATTTCTGATACATTTTTATACATAACTTGAAATACCGGTATGTCTAAAAACGATCATGAATAATTTCTGCATTAATAATTTACTATATTTACATACCTATCAGTAGATAAAAATGGATATAAACCAAACAAGAATCTCCAAACATCTGCTCTTATTTTGCTGTTTATTCCACCTGAATACAATGCAATCATTCATAAATCGATGACAATAATATATAATATACTGTACACCCAATTGAAAGGACACACAGACGGGTTCCAAAAGGTTGAAACATCCTCAAAGCCTTGACAAAAAGGTGGCATGGGAAAGCTATTGTTATGAGTATAGYAGTAAATGACCTTCTCTACGGGAAATGCTGTAATGCTACATGTTAGTTTAGAAAKATGTGGAGTGATATCTGTGATTTGAATTTCTGCTAGCTTTGACAATATCACCTTTTTCCGTTGTGATAAGGATTTCTCCTTTAGTTTGAATATTGTACACTACACCATCATGTCAGATGGTGATGAAATATGATGAATTTTAGTTTACCTTTAAATATTTCTTTGCGTACTTTATTTTCGTTTATAATTCTGCCATCTTGGTCTATCATTGTTCTCCATCTTCCTTCATCCAATGGTTGAGTACGTTCACTGACTTGCACTGGACTTTCATATTCAACCATTTCCACATGGCAGAAGTCATCCATATTCTTTATGATGAAAGTAACTTCTTTCCTGTTTCACTTTGAATTTGCTATAAATATATCATCTTCCTCAGCAACAATTTCTGTTGTTGATACAATTTAACTTCCCTTTATCTGACTGCAAGCCCAACATGAGAAACGATTCTAAAGGCTACCACTATAAATATAGTGTCCTTTGCAGCCTCATCTTTTGTCAGGCTTCATTGTCAAAAGTGGAGGCTGAAAAGGAGACTACTATGATACCAGAAAAACTTTACAATCTATAACACACCTTGCTTTAGACAGTAGTGAGAAACGAATAAGAAATTATAAACAAATCAGCTTACCTATTAATGTTAAATGACCTTTGTTAAATTTTAAAAGCTTTCTTTATAAGCTATATAAGACAAGCTTAAGGAAAATTGTCATAAATTTTTTCAGAAAAGCTCTGTGCAAGCCTTTTACTTGTATAGCGTTTGTTGACCAATATGTCTGAAGGTTGTTAATCACTGTTTCATATATTGTTTATGGGTTGTTGTATGAACTTCTCAAAATAATGTTGGACACGAGAATATAAGCTAAATTTTCAGGAAATATAACCTAAAAGACTCCTACAACTTGCATGACTTTAGCAAAACATAGCGTGACCGAGTAAAGGGACTAGGGACAGATGTACTATTTCACACTTGGGGGGTGGTCTCACTATCAACTAAAATTTGAATACTTCTGTCAATTTTTTTATTCACKGAAAATAAAATTTCAATTCCTTCTAGTTTGATATAGAAGTACATTAAATAATAGCATGCCTTAAAAGTATATCTAACAAAACTTTGTTACACTTTTCTTTCAATATAATCTTTGCTATCCCACCCGTCCCATATCACCTTCTTTTGCAATGCGTATGTTGATAAATACTTCCGGTTTGAGAGAGCGCGACAGAGTGTATGTCGATCGTGTCAAATAGTATCATTGCTCAAATCCCGTACGTTTTTTGTTGCTTTAATGACAAGTTCAGTTGYTGTAGCATTCTCAAAGCTCTCTCTGTTGTTTGTTTTAATGGTTTAAGAAATCAAAAGAAGGGATCAAGGAAAAGTTTAAGATGAACACCGTCGCGAAGAGCATCGTGTCGAACAAGTTGAGTTCTCTTGGACGAAATATTGGCTTAGAAGATGATAACAAGGACAACAAAGACGACACACCACTTTCCTCGAAGGAACTGAGAAAAATTCAAGAAAAGGAAGCTGCCGAAAAAGCAAAAAGAGAACAGAAGTATGCCAAAAGGAACGCAGAAAGAGAAAAAAAGCGAGAAGACATTCGAGCAAAGTATGGCCTGCAAAAAGACGACCAAAAAGGACAATCTCTTTCACGAAAGGGTTCATCTCCTGCTGAAGAAACAAAATCTGAAAAGGACGAAGAAAAACAGTGTAGATTGATGTAAATACTTTAGCGTCTTTTGGATTTATCTTTCGACTATGGATTGACGAGGCCATCGTCCATCTTCATTTATCATCCATTTCTTACAAACTGTTAAATTTATGTTAATTTATGTATTTTTTGTATTATGATGAGATGGTTGCAGTATTTTTTTCCAAAGCTGCAGCCCTATCCCCCATTCTACTTTCTGACCATCGAAAATCCAGTCACACAATGTTGGGCAAGTTGATTCAACAATATTTTCTTTGCAGAGACCTTCCATAAGTATTGTCAAGATAAAATTAAGTATATTAATTAAGACTGATCCTCCATTTTATAATTTGGTCTATAGCTATTATTATAGGTATTGCTTGAAAGGGACAAGAGCTAGCCTGTGTACATCCGTTTCTCACCCCTCAAAAAATCGCCGAAAAAAAAAAAATCCCCGATTTTTTGAGGGGTGAGAAACGGATGTACACAGGCTAGACAAGAGCCATGCATATGTCAAATGTAAAATATGTTTATGATAGTTTAAATAATTGTATTTTGAAATAATAACTCTTGGAAATGCGTTTTGAGGGACATCGAGAG